ACCCAAGAAAAACACAGCGAGTAGAGCGAGGTGAAAGTTTATTAGAAGACTTTGCAATAAAATTGGAAAAACACACACACCCAAAAACACGTAAAAAATTATATTCCGGAGGTTTATTGAAAAACTTCTCAAAAGGAGTAAAATTATTCAAGAGTGGTGTGGGTAAACGATTAACAACATAGGTGGCCGTGTACAAAGCATCAACCCAAAAAGTAGGCGGAATAGACGCCTCAATTAACATGGTACGGGTGAGTTCAAGAAGATGCCTATGCTTACGCTCAGCTACACCATTTTGGGCTGGAGTGTCTGGGCATGATTTTCTAAATAAAATACCGGATTTTAAAAAGTGATTGTTGAAAATAATATTGTCAAATTCGCCGCCACCATCACTCTGAAAGATTTTAATTTTCCTATCAAAAAGATTTTCAACAAGTTTTTGAAAATTACAAAAATGAGTGTAGACCTTCGATTTACGCCGCATAGGATAAATCCAAGTATAGCGAGAAAAATCATCAATAAATGACACATAATATTTATATCCTAAATTTGAAAGAACTGGCGATTGCCAAACATCTGAATGTATAATTTGTAAAGGAGCAGTGCAAGAATGAAGAACATCATGAAACGGGAGTCTGTGGGATTTACCCAACTTACAAGAAACACAATTGTGACTAAAATTACTAGAAATAGAAATAAAATTGTTTTGCCGAAGACGTTGTAAAACTTTATCACCACAGTGCCCCAAACGCTTGTGCCAAATAGGTCCAGGAATAAGAGTAGCTTGAAAGGCATGAAACGGATATAGATGGTCTTTATTGGAAGCCTGAAGAAGATGCACCCCCGTCTAATTGTCCTTCATAGAAAAAGAATTTTTATTAAAAATCATCGTACAATCATTATCCGCACACATCTTATGAATGGATAATAAATTATATTTTAAATGCGGAACATGATAGACGGAGTTTAAAGTAAGTGGCCGTCCATGTGTGACAAGTTTAACACTACCAATATTAGAAATGGGTAATTGAGTACCATTAACAACTTGCACGGAATTTAAGCCGGTATAAGGAGATTTACAAGACAAGATACCTTCATGAGGAGTCATATGAGCAGATGCCCCTGAATCAGGGTACCACACAGTAGCGTTTGCTTCACCCGAAGGATGAACAGCGAGAGCTGGCGCAGATGGACCAATATAGCGAGGACAAGTAAGTGCAGAGTGACCTGGAGAGAAACATATTTGACAGACAACTGGAGGTGATGGAAAATTATTATTCTCGCCAGATGGAAACCCTGCACTGACAGTGTTAGTACCACAAGTAGAAAGATGATTTAAGTACGAATAATCAGACAAAACATTACTCGATGCCATACCTTGATGACCAGCAGGTGCATGTGCCCGAATAGGACCATAAGCAAGCTATCCAGGAAGTGGTTGTGGCTGTGGCGGGAACGGAAGAAGTGGTGGCTGCTGTCCACCGTAACCCGGTTGCTGACCACCATATGCCGGTTGCGGGACTCCATAACCACGGCCACGCCCCATCTGGCCACGACCTCTACCACCGCGGTTACCACGGCCTCCCTGGTTTCGCCCACCGTGGCCGCGTGCTGCACCTCCTCTGTTTGGAGCCGCGACAAAAGCTTGATGAGGCTGCTGGGTTTCTTGAGCTCTAAGGCATAAATTACGTTGTTCTTGTGCAACCAAGATCGGGCGCAGCTTCCTAAGCGTGAGATCCCCCGGGATATAATTCATAATGGTGAGGAGGGATTCGTAATCAGGACCCAAACCCATAATAGTGTATTCAATTAAATCTTTATTAGTAACCGGAGAGTTAATGCAATTCAAAGCATCAACCAAAAGTTTAATCTCCAAAAGATATTGATCAATAGTTTGGGATTCCTTCTTTTTAATATGAGAAAGTTGTCTCTTGAGCTCTATAAAACGGGCAATGCAAGCATTCATAAAACGAGTTTCAAGAGCTTCCCATATAAGAGCAGAAAATTGATATCATAAACCTCCATTAAAATATCCCAGGATAGGGTAGCAAACAGCTAGGAACGCACCGTTTGATCAATTTTAAGCCAGTGCGTGTACTCAGAATTTGGGATTTCTCGCCCAGAAAAATCATGTGTGACATGGGGTGGTGCCAAAATTGAGCCATCTAGAATCCCAAGAAGACTATGAGAAACTAGAAAGGACTCAAATTGGGTCCGCCAAGGAAGATAATCCTCAACCGCATTGAGCCGGGTGGTCACAATATTAGTGACATTGGGTGTAGAAAACCCAATTGAGCAGCAAGAGACGCCAAAAACGATGGAGTAGAAGAAGCAAAACCTGGCATAGGTGCGGAGGACTGCTGCTGTAGAGCGACACCTGGATGTCCAGAAAAAGTAGCGTCAGAGAAGATCGGCGGCGGAGGGAGTCTCTGGTCCAGGAACGAACTGCTGCCAGGCGGTGGAGGAAGAGTCGTTGAAGAAGAGACCGGTAGTGCAGCAGATGAAGTCCAAGAAAAAGGCTCTGGCATATTAAAGAGACGGTAAGAACTGAGAGATGGTGGCAGATTGGAAGGTCCCGGCGAGAATCTGGACTGGGTGAGACTTGGCGATGGCTGTGAGGGAGAAGGAGATTGCCCCGCCATGGAAATCGCGGCCTGTGTTGATGAAGAAAGCTGCTCAGGACGAACCAGCGTTGTTGGTACTATAGAGATGATTGACGAAGGAATTGATGAAGAGTTCTCCGTCGTGGAAATTGCAGAAGTCGAAGCCATTGAGAAAAATACAAGCAGCGGCTAGGTACGAGGTAAACCTAGGCCTCTGATACCATATGCAATATTATGGAATAATGGCGTACCCGAATAGGGTGCCCTGATGGTATATTTATAATAAACAGGTAAAAATAAGAGAATTACAAATATGTCCCGATATTACTATCTATTAGTTTGAACTGAGACGTGATATTCGGGTTGGGTATACATAGGATCTTAATATTAATCCAACAAGCTGATCAATTGTCAAGCTATTTAGATATATGCGTTTTTAGATACCATTAAGGATGAGTGTGGTTGAGATGGTGTGTAAAATGAAATAGTAAAGGACACTTGGATATATCTTGATTTGAAGGTGATGAAATAAATCTACTTCCGGTCGCACTCTTTTTCAAAAGGGATTTCCATTAAGTAATTATCACTAGTATACTTAATGTTTAGTCTAGCCTTGATCATGAAGCCGGTCTAGACTCGAAGGTTTTTCACGAATAGCAAACATCACTTCAAGCTACTCAGACATATATGTGTTTCACTAAGAGCCCTCTTGATTTAATCCAAAATTCGAAACTACACAATCCTATCTTCTACCACTCATTATTTGATCACAATGCCCTCTTGAGTGGTATAGTAAGTTTAAATCACAGAAGATATTAAAATCCAACTTACTAGGTACTCTCTACGTGTGTGTTTGTGTGTGTATATAGTAGGGACTTGGCGGGTGAACCATTCCCCATCACCCGCCCCATATTCTAGTAGGGTAGGAATATATCACTCATCCCCGCCCCATTCTCCCCCCGCTGGGTGAGCCTCTACCCCCATTTTCATCATTAGGAAGAAATAATATATCACTAAAGGAACGTGTAATACATAAAATAAGGTAATATTGTCTTGCTGTATTTCAAATATATAGTGAGTATCACACGTCTTACACATAGGATGCATGGTCTCGGGTTAGAGCCCCATTATACTCAATTTTTGTTATATATTTTAAAGCGCATCTAAACTGATGACATAGAAAAATACTCTTATTTGAGAAATATGTTAGCAAACTTGTGAGTATTCTTAATTGGTAAATAAGATTAAAAAGAATATGATCCTCACAAAAAATGCAACAATTCCAATGGGAAAAATACCTAAACATTACTAAAATATGACATATGTGTTTTCCTAAAATATGACTATATATGTTTTTGGATGGGCAAATAACTACAATTATTATCATCTAATTGTGAGTAAGGGCTGTGCATTAATCGGGTCGGACCGTATTTTAGACCTGAACCGGACCAGAATGGACCGGTCCGGACCGGACCGGTATAAACCGGTCCGGGTTTCGGTCCTTAGTTTTGTAAGATTCCGGGTTCCGGTCCGGTCCGGGTCAAACCCGGAAAAAACAGGTCCGGACCGGAATGGACCGGTAACCTATTTTCCCGTAAAATATATACTTGGTTTTGTATCATTAGTCATTATGTTTATGACTTATTTTTGTCTTTTATTATATAAACGAATATATACGGAGTTTATATTTGGTGTCTAATTATTTCCTAAGTTGTTATTTATTTATTTATTTATTTATGTGATTTTTCTGCTTTTTATTTGTTTCTTTATTTGCAGGTGCACATGTAATTTATATATAGTATATTTTTGGACTTAATTTAGTTTTTATTACTTTATAATAGATTTTGCATTTTAATATACACAAAAGATTGTAGTTTTAATTATTGTGGGAAACTAATTGTTACGATTGAATAGTTTTGATAACTATATTCCAAAATTAATAAATGAGCTAGATAAAAAATTATTTAGTCTATTTAGCATATCCGCACATAAAATTATAATTTAGAACAACAACATCCAAGCCTTATTCCTAAAAAATTTGGGACCAACTAAGAACACTCTAAGATAATATTTATTTTTTAAAACCGGGTCAATTAGGGTCAAAACCGGACCGGACCGGAAAATTCAGGTCCGGACCGGTCCGGACCGGTTAGATTCAGGTCCGGTCTTCGGTCCAAAGAAAATGATGATTCCGGTTCCGGTCCTAACCGGTTCCGGTCCGGTCCGGTTTTGGACCGGTGCACACCCCTTATTTGTGACTTTCAAGACAATACATGATATCATGCTTTATTTTAGGAAAAAACATATGGAAGCAGAAAACACATCTCCAATTTCAATGTTGAGAAATGAGGAGTAAATATGATAAGGAACAAAAAGGACTAAAAGTAAAACAGATAAGGCATGAATTTGAGCCAAAGAATCCCATATCCCTAGCAGACTCGTTCAGCCAAAGATAACGCCTTTCTGCGTTCAGAGGAAAAATCAAGCAAAGATGAGACCGTTGACAACTCAAGTCCATTCAAAACACCCCAATTTCAATTCTCTATCTTCAGCCTATCCATTTCCCATCCAGATAAAATCCATATCTGGCGCTAAGTGTACGAGAATGAAGCCCTCCTCTTTTCCTGTCATCCCAAATGTCACTAACCTGCCAAGCGTAAAGAGTCAACTTGTTAAGAGTAGGAATACCCAGATCAAGAAAACCTATGCAGAAAGTTCAAGAAATCATAAATTACTATCAGAGGATTCCCAGAAACTTTCAAGAAACGAGTTTTGTGTATCTGAATCGATGAGGTCAAATGAGAAGAGGTCCAAAGTTTTGATTTGGGGAGCTGTGTCAATGGGAGTTGTGATGTTTCTTATGGGGCTTGGTGATGAAAAGGCACTGGCTTTAGGTCCTGAAGGTCCATTAATGGAGGAGTTTTGGGACAATATGAGGCGATATGCAATTTATGTCCTGACAGTGAGTTCAGGTGCTTTGTACATCGTTTTCCAGCCTGTAATTGAACTGCTGAAGAGCCCCATCACCGCAATTCTCATAGTGGCTATCATTGGAGGCAGCGTTTACATCGTCTCTCAGGTGCTTTCTGCCATGGTTGGCATCTCCGACTTCAACTACGGTTATAGCTACTAGGTAGATCTATCTATATAAAAATATGTGTTTCCTATTTGGAAGTGTCGCTTGATTTTACACTTTTTGTACACGAGTCAGGTCACGAGCAATCATTATCAAATTGGTTAATGTAATTTGAATTTTGAAATGGGTTTGTATCTGAAAAAATGAAAATTAATGTCTGTCATCTAGTATATGATCACAAACTTCATAGCTCAAAGAATGACTGAATGAGCCTGCTGTAAAAGTCCAGTTACAGAGGCTCTTGAATTCAGGTTTTTATGCTACTTTTTCCATTCAACCTAATTACTGAGTATAACTCATGTTGAGACATGTATATGTTTGTTAGTTATGTAATAGGAATAGAATATATAAATGTTTGTATCAACAAGTTTTAGTAGTCTTAGAATTGTTTTAGAAGCAGGCTCCAAAGGTTAAGCAGACCTTTCTATAAAGTATAAAGCCGACCAAAAATCCTGGACAAAATGTTGTAGGTAAGAAAGGATAAACGCTCTACACCTACGGCTGAGAGAGGCTCATATGCAGAATGCAGATATGCTTGTAATAAAGGGCTTTTGTGTCCTTGTACGTGTTGAGTAAGTTCAATTCAATCCTGAACCAAAAAAGGTATGAGGAATTAATTAATTAATTAATTAAAAGAAGGGTAAATAAATAGGTAACATGTAGGCTTATTTAGAAAATATTAAGAATGAACTCCTATTTAAGAACCCTTATCATATTTTAGTCGTATTTAGGACAATTATTTTTTAAAATAATAGAAATTGTTCAATATAGGAGCAAAACATAGAAAAGTTCAAAAATAGCTAAGAATGATTTTAATTCGACTAGTTTCAGCCCCAGACTAGACCGGAGTAAGCTAACCAAACAAAACCATATCAAACTTCAACAGTTGTAAAATGTACATAGAATAAACATCTACCAGATCAGACCAATTTAGAATAGACTAGATCAAACCAAAGTTAAACAGAACAACCCAGATCAAAAGTAGACCGAAGTTAGAGTCCAATTAAAAACATTCTAAGTATGTTTTATTTATGAACTTTTAAAATAGGAGTGGATGAGCCCTATTTTGATAATAAAGTAACGGGAAAATCGCAATTTTGGTCCTCCAATTAGCCACCATATTGAAATCCCATACCCATGTTACTATGTTTTTAAATGTCACCGCTGATTTGACAGAATTGTTTTAAATGTCACCCCTGCCGTTAAAAATCTTACAAACACCGTGTGACTTTCTAATTTTTCAGGGATAAACATAGGGGTGGGCATAACAGTTTGATTTAATTGAACCGAATCGTACCAAACCGAACTAAACCAAAATCGAACCATATGCAATTTGGTTTGAGTTTGGTACTATTTCTTCCAAACCGTATTAAACCGAACCGAGACCGATAAAAACCGAACAAAACCGAACCGAACTAAAGAAATTAAAAAAAAACTTCATATATTATTAAAAATTAACAAATCCAAACCGAACCAAACTAAACCGAACCGAACCAAACCGAAAAATAGTATGGTTTTTGTTTGGTAATAATTCTTCCAACCCGTTCCAAACCGAACCGAACCGAACTGAAACTGATAAAAACTGAACCGAAAACCGATATGCCCAACCCTAGATAAACATGTAACTTCACATCCTTATATATTTAAAATCCCTAAATCGATATATCTTCAACCCTTTATCACGCTTATCAATCCAAATTCAAATGCTTTGCTTAATCCTTTGCTTTGAACTCTTTTCAGCCAACTTTCTGTTGGACATGCATTCAAATATTGAACCTATATTGAAGCAAAGATTCCGTTTGAAGGCCGAAGCTGCGACGGAGAAAAGATGAACATGGTGGCACTTCTTGAAAAATCCAAACGGCTAAAGAACAGACGAATGAAAGAGAGGTTCCCAAGCAAATGGTGTGTACCTCACTTGAATTATACAAAGAAAGTCTGATTTATACTTGATTTAGGGATTTAAACGTTTGAGGATGCGAAGTTAAATGTTTACCCCTCAAAATATAGAAAGGCACACGGAGTTTGTAAAAAAAATTAACGGCAAGTGTGACATTTAAAACAATTCTATCAAATCGGGGGTAACGTTTAAAAACGCAGAAACACGTGTATTTCAATATGGTGGCTAATAGGGGGGCCACAAGTGCGATTTTCCCTAAAGTAATAATAATCTTATTTATGAATTTTATCCTTATTTTAATCCTACTTAGGGAACTCACTCTTAACACCATGTTTATTATAAATTATAAGAGCATATATGGAGATACAAACATCATTCTTTTCTCATTCCCAGTTTCGCACTTAAGTGTACTAAGGCTATATTTGATATCATAATGCAAAAGAATTTGTGAACTTTTCAGTAACGGTTAGATTTTAGTAATTGTAAAGATTATGAAAATAGATATCTGTCAAATAGGTCATCATACTTTGTGAAACAGACAATTGGGTCATTGTACTATCCGTCGAATCAATCAACTCCGCCAAGTTCTAGTCACCCGTTGATGTGTATGTTGTTAATTACACACTTATAAATTGATATTGCATTTATGTAATCTTAAATAGAACCAGAGTGTTATATTTTTTTGGAAGAGAAGAGCTTATATTGAAATCAAAACATTAGCATTTGGAAAGAGAGTAAAAAAAAAAAGTAAGGAACCACAGACAATCGTCAGCCCTCGAACAAGACTTGGAGTTAATCACCTTCGAACAAGCAATATAACTCGTTGATCCATTAATGGACAAACTTGAGCCACAGACGATTGAAGTAGACCAAACCTCACCTGATCTTAATGCAAGAGTTTTACAATAAAAATAACAGCAACAAAATAAAACATAGTCTGATTGACTCAAACAACAATAAAATAAATAAATATTCCTCTCCAGGAACATGAGCACCTCCACCGAACCACTGCTCGAGCACCTCGGCCATCCCAAGCAAACCGGCGGACCTACAGGCTGAGGTTCGCCTCCTCTTCGTTTTTTGCCTATCTGGTGCCATGCCTTCCCCTGTTGGATTCTCCTGTCCCTTTATCTCCCAGGTTCTTCTACGTTCAGGTTCTTCTGATACCTTCTCAGGACTTACTGAATTCCCTTCCTTGATAGAGCTAGTGCCTGTAGTCTCCTCCTAGTCCTGCTTGTCTGAATCCTGCCCATCTGACATCCTCATCCCAGATTCATAAATCCAAAAGCTACATTATGAACTTGCACCCAAAAATCAGCCTCATAAAGCCTAATTTGTAGAGGAATATCCTCTGCTTGAATCTCTTTTAGAAGCAGTAAATTTCGTTCAAACAACCACGGACCTTCATCAAGGACACGTTTCATATCTAATTTGTGATGAAAAGTAAAAATATACCTCTTGTCATCAATTTCTTTAATAGAAATACCTTTAACCGTTCTCCACAGCGAGGCCATCAAGTCCTTGAATAACTGAAATTTGATCTTGCGATCCGTCAAAATCAGACCTACCACTGGGAACACTGCCTTACTTTCGCCGGACTCTTCATCTTCCTCATCGAACACTAATTGCTCCTTGTCCTCACCAATTGTCATTTGTTTGTAGTGATAGACCACATCTTCCATTGAAAAGAAAAAGGCCCTGCTCCGTCGATCTTCAGCCACCGAACCACCGGCTAAAAGCATCGGTACCCTGTTCGATTTCGCTACACCGAGCTCTGCTCGATCTTCGTCTTCCCCGTTTGCATTCGAACAAGGCGGCCGCACCTCGGATAACCGAGAGCGGAGGAAAATAAACCCTAACGGCTTAGAGCCCTAGAGAGAGAAAATTTTGAAATATAGATCCTTGGTTTTCTCAGAATGTTATACTTAAAAAGCATAAATCTTACATCAATGACTCACCTTGATTAAACAATCGGAGTATTAGAGCATCCACATTCATGATCTTCAACTTTACGGTTTTTCATGACTTATTATTCCCATGACACCTCCACATAAGATAATCTCAAATAATCTCCAACCCAATAAATTTCTCCTCATTCATGATCTTAATTTACCTTGGATAGGAGCATGAGCATGCACGAACTACAAAGCTAGTCATCACCATAATTATGAGTATATGTCTAGAAGTTGGAAATAATCTCAAAATAATCCAGCTTTAGAATTTGATACCAGATTATTTTATCAAATAATCTCATAAAATAATCTGAACTCATCATCTATGATCCCACAAAAAATCTTCCACATCATCAAAATGATCTCAAAAATATAGCCACATTATTGCTAAAATCAACCAATTAAAATATAAATAGAACGTCTATTAGTATGCCACTTAACTCCATGCCAAATTGCCAATGCTTTGTCGCATTGTCCTTTTCTTGTCTTTAATTTCTTGAGGCTCTGCTATGAACCTTTACCATCTCAAATGGCTGGATCCGATTGAAGCTCTACAGCATTCCAAAAAACTATAGGTTGCTGTCAATTCTTCTAGCACTTCTAAAAAGAGAAGTGCATTATATCTGTTTATAGCATTTGTTTAGATGTATAGGAATCAAACAAACTATTTTAAGTATTAACTTATTTCTAAATCAAGAGAAGTGCATTATATCTGTTGATAGCATTTGTTTAGATGTATAGGAATCAAACAAAGTATTTTAAGTATTAAGTTATTTCAAATTTAGAGAGAGTAATGATCCTGCTAGGTAGTTTTGACAAGAATCACCATCCGAACTTGTCCATTTGAGGTGTGTTGGGATATATTATCCCGGCCTATTACTGTTCAGGAGCCCAAGACATTATCCAGTACGGAGCCCGAGCAGCTAGGCCCATTTCGGCCCATCCGGCCCACTTTGACCACCAGGCCTGATATCGGCCCGTTTGGCCCATTAGGGTGGAGAGCCCCTTCTCTCCTTCCCCTATAAATACGGAGCTTAGCCTCCATGTAAAGGATCCCTTTTTCCTTTCTTCTTCTCCCTCCTTAGCTAGATTAGAACTCCATTAATGGGAGCTTCAAACAAATTGTACTATGTAATGGTGAGGAGAGTCCTAATGAGAAAGAGAGGGCTTGGACATTAGCCTAAAAAGTCCCGTGGTTTTCTCCCTTTCGGGTTTCCACGTAAAAACTGAGTTGTTCATACACATTTATACATATATTTACTATATCGTGTTGGATTAAACTCAACACTGGCGCCGTCTGTGGGAATCTGTCCAAAAAGATTCATGTATTTCTACTGTTCTTGAGTTTCTACTGAGTTTCTACGAAAAACTCATACGAAATGGACTGATTTCAACAAAAACAACAACAAAGAAATGATTCTGGGAAA